GTTAATAACAACATTAAAGTATATTTTCTAAATTAAATGTATTTAATTATATTATTTTACATTATTTTTAATAAAAAAAAATAACTAAAATCATAATGAGAAACTCATTTTTTTCCTTATTTATTAGAGATAATATTGAAATTATAATTGAAGAGTTATAAATTATATATATTTATAAAAGTAAATTTTAATTAATATGCAAATAATGATACATTGTAACTTAATGGCAAATTATATACATCTCTCTCAACAAATACTAAAAAAATTTAAGAAGAAAAATAGCCGATAAATTAAGAAATTTTAAGTATCATACTTCATTTATTACTGTATAAGCTATAAAATTTTTAGACAGTTATTGCTAAGACAACGAATTAATTACAATTAAATAATTAATTTTTTATTTTTTTCAACAATTACAACACAATTTATTTTAACAACTATTTGGTTCAATGTTGGCTGGCTATGGTATGTCTTGCATTTTATTTAATCTGACTGACGAGGACTGGAAATAAAATGCCTATAAAACTTGAAATTTTATAGTTGGTATCTAAATAATCTGCATTTCCAGTCTTCTAATAGTTACATTTTTTTAATCAAATCCCATCTAAAAGGAAAAAATTCTGTATGCAGTTAAGATTGAATAATTTTTATGCCATGATAGACTCAAATTTGTTAATTAAGATAAAAAATTGCACATGTAATAAACATCAAGGTCAACTTTCTATTTCTCATTTATATTGCAAATGTAAGAAGTTAAAAAATCTCAAAAGCATGACATTACATTTTTGAGTAATTATAATTTGATTGAAGTTTTATATTCTAAGTTATTTCAAGGAAGTCCAACTCAGATTTTTATACTGCATAATTTAGCATAACCAGAAAAGAATTTAATGTAATTAATGGTTAAAAAAAATAAACATTTTCAATTTGTATTATCCTTACATCTAGAAAATTAAAAATGTATTCCTTTTGTAAGGCTAAGTCTCCATTTGCGCTTTCTAGTCGTGGCAACCAATAAATAGTTGCTGCAGAAAATCTACAAGGTGCACACATCGTGACAGATAAATCATTAAATTAGAACAGTTTTCCTATGGATATCATTAAAACTACTTGTGTGATTGCTTTTTTGCTTTGGGCGAGAAGTAAACAGCGGAAGCATCGTTATTGGGTACATCCAATAACAAGTCAAAAATTATTGAAAGGGCAGTTTTACAAGTTATTTGAAGATATATGTAAGCACCCTGCAAAGTTTTTTCAGTATTACCGAATGACAAAAGTAGTTTTGATGAATTGTTGGGAATAATTGGTCCATCATGGATTTGTTGTCAGACATTTTAAGCAAGTATTAGCAGTATTTTAAACAGAGACCTGAACAAGACTGTAGACTGCAACTAGACTATCACAAGTGGGTGTATGTCCATGCCTGTCTGTGTGATTCATTGAGTAGAGTGACAGTTGTGTTGCAGCGAAAAAGGACTGATTGCAATTTTTTAGTCGCAAGTGTATGCACTTGTATTGGAAAACAATGAATTTTATTTTTGTGACTGAAAAATCGCAAGTGGAGGCCTAGCCTAATGGGAGTTTAATCTCTATTATAACACAGAAACATTTGATTTGAACTGATTATCATCAAACTTTGTTCTTATTAAATATAATATATAAAGTAAATAAATTTGTTGAATTCAATATATTTAATTATTTATATAAATATAAAAATGTTTATTCTTTACTCATAGATTAGTAATACATGTAAATATATTATTTTTATCAAGTGAAGTTGTAATGCTTAATATGACTAATATTATCATTACATTCTGCCACTTTCTGAGACTATTAAAACAATGAACAAGAGGCACCTTTATCAAAGAACCATATTTATTTTTTTTTTTTATTTCATATTTAACATTGTTTACAATATACATTTTGGCTGGATACTAAGTTGACACTAAATTATGAACAAACGTTTTTTAACAATACAATAAAAATTATTATGCCAATAAAAAAGTATCATTATACTCACATTAGGTATATACATGTACAAATTGAAGTATTCACACATTTTATAAGAATTGTCATTACAACTTCACTTGATAAAAAGCTTTTATAAGCACCCCGAATATAAAATAATTTTTATTTTTCATTGTTTCATGAATTTTTATAGAAATATTAATTCCTGCTAATTACAAATATGTACAGAAGCTATATATATATATATATACACAATCAATAGTAATTTGAAATTTTTAATTAAAAATTCCTTTAAAATTAAAATATAATTAAATTTAAAACTGACTTGTTTGGAAAATTTGGAATGTATCATCATTTTTNTGTAAATCAAGGGATGGGTATACTACAATTTAAAAGTTTGAAAGTGCTTGTTGGTCTAGTGACATTTATTTGTAATTTAACGCCTGTATAATAAAAACTTTCTCCTATTAAATGGTCAGTGTGCTGTCCACTTCTGTTTTATAAATATTGTTTTTGACAGTACTGACCAAATACTTCATTCTCAATTACAATGTAAGCAATCTTTATACTATATACTAAACAAGAAGTTATCTTAGAAAGTTTAATTAAGGTAGGTTCTTAAGTAAATATATTATTTTTATCAAGTGAAGTTGTAATGCTTAATATGACTAATATTATCATTACATTCTGCCACTTTCTGAGACTATTAAAACAATGAACAAGAGGCACCTTTATCAAAGAACCATATTTATTTTTTTTTTTTATTTCATATTTAACATTGTTTACAATATACATTTTGGCTGGATACTAAGTTGACACTAAATTATGAACAAACGTTTTTTAACAATACAATAAAAATTATTATGCCAATAAAAAAGTATCATTATACTCACATTAGGTATATACATGTACAAATTGAAGTATTCACACATTTTATAAGAATTGTCATTACAACTTCACTTGATAAAAAGCTTTTATAAGCACCCCGAATATAAAATAATTTTTATTTTTCATTGTTTCATGAATTTTTATAGAAATATTAATTCCTGCTAATTACAAATATGTACAGAAGCTATATATATATATATATACACAATCAATAGTAATTTGAAATTTTTAATTAAAAATTCCTTTAAAATTAAAATATAATTAAATTTAAAACTGACTTGTTTGGAAAATTTGGAATGTATCATCATTTTTATTTTTTATCACCGCATTTGGCATCTATTCACTTATACCACTCTCTTATTTAAATTGTTATTTTACTTATTTATGATAGTTACTTTAAATAATGAGTAAAAACAGCTTTATAAAGATTTCAAATACTAAATTTTTAAGTCTATTCTTGTTTATTTCTTGAATTATTACATAGTCACGTTAAAAAGAGAAATAATCTTACAAGCTAGTATCTATACAAACATAGTATCAAAAAGAATTTCGTATTATATTATGAAGGACGATAAAAACTTCTTTTCATAATATATATTCTTTCATATATAAGAGGAACTGTTTTCATTTTTATTATAAATTAAACATGAAAATACATATATTCTTATGTATTTTGTTTTTAATTTGTATTTATTAACCTTATATAAGACAGATTATATGAAAAACTATTTGGCTATTATTTTATATTAAATAATAAAGAAAATATAAAATGAAATGTCAAAGATTAATTCAATCAATCTGAGATTAAATCATTGAAAAATATTTATTGAAATGTTTCAATCTTCAACCATCTGTAACTTTTCAATCAAGAAATACAATGCAGTATAATGCTTGAATTTGATTAATTGAGAGGAATATTAATCTTTAAACTAATTATGTTACATTAATGAACAGGAAAAAAGATTTTTAAATATTTTATTTATATCTATAATGATTTTTATATTAAATCATTACAAAACATTAATTAAAGCTAAATCATATTCACGTTATTACAACTCTTAATTATCAAGTTTATTTAACTTTAAATAAAGTAAAATATTTACTATAAATAACAGCAACCTCATCAAAATACATTCTCATATTTCAGGAAACTTTCCATTATTAAAACTGAAATATATTATTATTACTTTCCTTATTAAATTTTTATTAATATATAATATATTAACATAATGAGAAGCTTATTGTATTCATTATGTTATCACTATAATTTCATACGTTATAAATTTCAAAAAGGAATTGGTTTTAATTGTATATAATATTAAATAATTTAGTTACAAGCTAATATGAAAATTTTATTAAATTCGCTAAAGCACATTTAAATAATTTAAAAATAATTTCTGTTATTAAATTATAAATAAAACTATTTTAAGAATATAATCTCGTATTTTACACATTACTATTTCTATAAATTGAAATAACTAATACTTAATACTATTTTTACATTTTAAACTACAAATAAAATTATTTCTGTACTTACAGTAATCCTATTTCCATGATTATTGACCAATTTATTATATAAAAATTATCTTAAACACGTTGCCTTTTAGTTCAGTATCGGCAACATTTACATAGTATTATTTTTTATAATTTTGTGTAACATATAAGCGATTTAAATTGCAATTGATTTCATATACTGAATAATCAATATTCCAGTTAAAAATCTTAGAAATAAATCTTGATTATTTCTTAAGTACTTGTAATAGTGAAATTGTTTACGTTAATGTTAATTTATGAAATATCTTATTAATGTAAGTTAATTTTACTTTAGTTAAATTTAAAAAAAAAATCCATCTAATGAAATATAATGTATTAAATTCATTATATTTTACTGATTTATAGCATTTCTTTTAATTTCTGAAGATTGACTATTCTAATTTAGGGAAGAGGATTATTAAAAGTTACTCGAAAGCGTTAAAAACCAATTTAATTAATAAAATGATTATAAAATCAATGGACTACTTCACATTACAGATTCAGTATTTTGAGTTATTCAATGCTAATAAATCTGAAGAATATACAAATTCTAGACAAAAATATTTTTAATGTTGTAGAATATATAATGTTAAAAAAAAAAAATTACATACACTTTTACACCAGGTGGTACATCCCAGACACATTCTCCTGTTGTCAAATTTGCATATATATGTTCATTGGTCCTTGGTTCAATAATCTCCACCCATTCCACCCTAATAAAAATAAATTCAAACATGCTACAACTCAATAAAAATAAATTGTTATTCAGCTCTAAAGAAAAAAAATTTTTTTTCTTAAATATAATCAAAAATTTCCTAAAATTTTAGCAACAAACTCTACACTTTTTATAACTAACATAAGATATGAATTACTAATCTGATTCATAAAATTGTGAATAAAATAAACTATGCCTTACATTTTTCTATATATTTTATTTACATATCCATATAAAGAAAAATTTTCCATTTATGTTATTTTAATAATTAGTCACAGTATAAGATTACAACAGTCCAACGCAAATAACGTATAGGATATTGTAAACAGCTTGAAAGGAAACTTAAATCGAAATTCTTATAATTAACACAAACATGTGATGAGAATAATTTTGACAGTAAGGATAATTACAGATAGGAAACAAAGGCAGTTCAGTAAAGTGAAACTTTAAATTTTTAATAAAAATCCTTAATCATAATTAAGTCGGTAAAATTATTAATAAACTCTTCACTTAAAACACTGTAATAAATTGCCTTTTAAAGTAATGTAAAATCGTTACAATACTTTGAAAATTTATTCGTTAAAAATTCTTTTAATTACGAGGAGTTTTTTTTTTATTGAAAAAGATATTAATATTTTCATTGGGTAATTTTTATTTTTTGAAACGGATTCCATTAATATAGTAACACATTTAAAATTAGAAGCCAACCGTCAAATCTAACGCTCATAAAGACAAAACTAGAAAAAATAAACATCGTTAACCATGTGGGTGTAGTAGGCACATTAAGTAAACTATCCGTGTCTGTAATTACTATGCAAGCTGAATAGTTAAGAAACTATAAGAAACAGATTAAAGAATTATTTTGTATAATTAGCAAATTTAATCAGTAGCTATGACCCCGATGCAACTGAGCCAGACGTCAAACAAGACACGTGAGTTTAACAGCACCAACTAAAAATACCATTCAATTTAGCACGAATTTCACTTACTGAATATTTACAAAAATATAAATAAATTACACCGTCTTCGAGATTACTTTCTTATTGACATGATAAATGGATATTTTACGTTAATTTTATCGAGTAAAATTATATAATATCTTGTAGACGAGTGTGTACATTTTAAAGCCTAAATGAATGGATAAAATCATGTTGTTAACCCATTTCAACAAGGTATATTTCGTAACACGCGATTAACTTCAAGGTTAAAGAAGAAGAAAGAAAGAAAGAAAGAAGAAGAAGAAAAAAAAAAACAACTTCCGCAATTTTTATAGGAGCTACATATATTACAAATTCGAATATAAAAAAGTATATACAGAAAGGAGATAACGAAAACTTAGTAACTCCCATCCTAGTGACGTCAATTTCTTTTATATTTAGGAACGAAAACGATAACAAGCTTGAAGTCAATTGAGGAGGATAACCGAAACGTCAATAAGGTGATGATAAATTCTATTTTAAAACCAGTCTGATACATGTTAAATTGGTTTAAGCGTAGTTGTATTCTTAACTACGTTTGATTGATACCAATTTGAGAAGAAACATTTGCGTGTATAAACCGATAAGTGACACTTAACAGAAAGTACTATTATTTTGCAGTTTTCTTTCGACACCCCCCAGTACATTCAATACGTAGTAGTAGAAGATTGTTTGATTTTTCCAATACATACATACATACTACTTCTACTACTACACCGTTTATGGTCGGAAAAACTCATTTATGAAACTAAAAATAAAATTCCCATTTGGTAAAAGGCGTTTTCGATTGGTAAAAATGTTATTTAAGTAGACTATATACAATACGGAACAGGGCAACTATCGGCGGAATATTAGAGTGGTTTAAAATTACATATATTTAAAGTATTTAACCTGGTTGGAGAAACTACTAGTTAGCGTATGAACAATCCAAATTAATGTACAATCGATACAACGTGACAATTATTCATTTGTGAATGACGATAACGTGACGGGCTGTGACTAAAATGTAGAAAGTATTCAAATTTACGTCCATTAGATTTATGTCGATGTCTTGTTTCCGCATATAAATTTAATCTACTACATCTTTGAACAACTTCTTATATTTAAAATATTTTAAATGAATTAAAAACACCAGTGCAATTTCTGAATTTAATTCGTAAACTATTCGGGCTAAATTTAACTTTAAATAACTTCAAAATATACGAATTTTATTGTAGAATTTAAGAGTATCAAATGGAATTTTGCCATCTGGTTATTCAGTTTAAAAAAATAAAAAAAAGAATACATTGTTTCTTCATATCAAAATTAATTTTTTACATAAATTAAAGCAAAAGTTTCTTCGTATACCGGCTTTAATACCCGCATAATTAGTTTAAAAAGTCAGAAATAAAACTAAAATTCAGTCATTAAACTTTATACGTCAGTTTTTACACGGCTTCCATTTATAATAAAAAGTGAATGAGTTTATTAATTTGTGCACGATAACGTTTTGATGTCAAGAAACTTATTAAAAATCATAAATTATGTAGCAGATAACTGTTGTTATTAAAAATGAGTTTAAAAACTACTAATAAAGTATTTATACGTAGTACGATCCAAAAGTTCGGGGACTTGGCTTAAAATTCCTTACCTTAAAAAGTTTATATTGCCGATGCACAACCACCTTCAAAGTAATCACCTTGGGCAACGATACAGTTTTGCCAGCACTCGTATAATTTCTGGAAGCACTGCTGGAAGCCATTTTTTGAAACCTCCCGTAAGGCCTCCTGCGATGCTGCTCTCACTTCATCTGATGACACAAAAGGGCGTCCCTGCAAATGCTTTTTCATTGATGGAAACAAATAAAAATCACACGGAGCTAAGACCGGTGAACAGGCGGGGTGTGAAAGCACATTAATTTGAGATTTGGCAAGAAACTGTGTGACCATTTGGGACCGATGTGCAGGTGCGTTGTCATGCAGAAGGTACCAGTCTCCACTTCGCCAGATCTGTGGCCATTTACGACAAATGGATTCCCTCAAATGACGTAAAATGTCTAGATAATTGAAAGACCAACTCAACATTTTCCTCGTTCCGTGAAGTCGAAGGTCGGCCAGAGCGTTCATCATCTGCGATGGATTCTCAGCCCTCTTTAAACCTTTGATTTCACCATGATAGAATCACCGTACACCTTTCTTAGCAATTTTAAAGTCTTCATAGATGTTTTACCTAAACGCTGACAAAATTTAATGTTGCAGTGCTGTTCTTGAAACTCCATTTTTATTACGTCGCCAAACAAAGGTACTATCTCCGAAAAAAAGCAACAGCACTCGCGGTTTAATCACGTGGCATGGGCGAAATCAACATGAACACGTAGGAGTAGTTTGATAGAATCCATTTCATACGCTGTAACTTTAAATACATGCTTTTGTTGTCATACATTACTGCAGTCCCCAAACTTTTGGATCATACCACGTACAATTTTGTGATAAAAATGTATTTTAAATTCAAAAATTAGTTCATTTAAAACTACTAAAAATATATTTAATTCTTTGTTCTTGATATGAGAAATATTCAAATTGTCAGTTTTATGTATTCCTTAATTAATAGCTAATATATAAAAATTAATCACCAATATTTATTTGATATTTCTAAAATATCAAAGAAATGAATAGCTAGTAGCTATTAAACCTAGTAGAAAATAGACGATATAGCAGCAAACTGGTCAGAGATGATGTCAAATGAAATTTGTTTGATTGTCATAGGGTCAACTACCAATTATCCAGTCATCAACTCAATGTCACTCTACATCATTACATCATACCCTTTGATGACTCTCAGATCCAAGAAGTTTGATGTGAGTCTGTTAGCTAGTTTTCTTTTTTTAACTTTTACTAAATTGATTGTGGGAAAAACTATTCATATACATAAGTTGTAGAAAATAACATTTGAATTTATGTTGCACATTTCCTTAAGCTGGGAAATTGATATATTTATTCATATTTTATGCAATGTGGGCCGCAAAAAGTACAGTATTAATTAATGTGAGCCACATGCAACCTGAGGGCCGCAGGTTGCCCATTCCTGCTCTACATTTATCTTAAGGACACAAAAATTTTGTGACAATTGTCAATTAAAATTTCACCTACTTTACCACTTTAAAAATAACTATAAGAGTCAAGACTCCTGTAATTAAGCTTGGCAATCATAGGCTTTACTTTTAATAAGGCATTCAAACATAGCTGGATATTCCAAAGGTGATCATTTTCTCATGTTGTTATTACATGACTATAGTACTAATTGGTGAAAACAACTGTCCATCTGAAAATAAATTACACAGAGGAGTCGTTGACACAGAGGAGTCGTTCCTCATCTTTATGCAACAACTCACAAGTATGTATCCTTCCATCAATTTCACTTGGGAGAAAGAAAGCGATGCAGAAGTAGCGTTCTTAGACTTGCATATACGTAAATCTTCGGAAGGACTACAATTCTCAGTCCATCACAAATCTAGCATAGCTCCGCACATTATACCAGCAGAGGCCTTTCAGCCTTCTCGATACATTAATGCTGCCATTGCCTCCCTTGTCAGAAGGGCTTATTTACTGTCGTCTACGCAGGAGCTGATAAAAATTGAGTTAGATATCATCAATTTGGCGGTACGCACTGCTGGCTTTTCACGTGCAAAATTTACACATGTGCTCAATAAGGTAAAGAAAGCACTATTTCCAAGTACTAAATTACAAAACACAAGTTTGTAGATATAGTAGAGCNTATATTTAATTTAGAAAACAGTATTTTATGTCGCATACCGCAGAGAAAAATCACTAATTTAGAAGAAATAAAATTAACAATTACCAATTAACTCATTAAGATTCTCTGTGAGTAATAGCATGATTTACTACATTCGGATGACTAACCAATAGCTGTAAAAGTATAGCTCTTTAAACGTTAAAGCAATTGTTTAAATTCTCAAATAATAATAATTATAACACTAAAACACGATTGGTACCATTCAGAATCTCCACGTAAATTACAAAGAGTAATTTATACGCATACAAATATCGCAGTAAATGGCGCCTATTGTCAAAATAAGACCCGTTGTTGAAAATGAGATGGATTTGTTTTTTGTTTTCTTGTTTAGTTACGACGGGACTTGTCGGGCGAATAATTTTATAAGTGGAGTTCATCTGGACTCTGCTGACGAAACAACTGCAGGAAATCGTCGCAGTACAAACACTAAAATAAACGCTTTACTCATTCCAGACGGTGAAAGATGTAGAAAAACTCCACCTTCTTGACGTAATGGGTATGTCCCATCTGTTGCTATGACTACACAGAATAGAATGTCATGGCAATGTCTTTTTGTTGTAATATAAGTTTATAACCTTTGACTTCGTTTATCGTGATTGACAGATGTGTTTAGCATTCCTGTTTATTTTGCCATTTCTCCGGAGGAGGAAAGAAAAAGACGTTTGTTTATAAAGTTCTTACCCCCGGCACACCTTGATAATTCGCAGAAATTACCGATTCGCCGCTATAACAAACGTTTATTTTTTATTATTTTTTTCATTTTAACGATCAAAGCGTGTCCAACACTGAATGAATTGCAGCCGAGCATTGAATGATGTTCGAGGATTATCACGTGGTTTACTGACTCTTTTGTTACAGGCATAATACACTCGCAGAAGTAACAGGAAGTAACTACTAAATTTTAGATAAATAATGGCACGGTTTATGAAACACTAACGCTTTACGACATTAAAAATGCTATTTGTTTGTTTTAAACACCTCTCGAGTAGATTGAATAGTAAAACGCTACGATTGTCGTACATTTTACTGCAAATTAATTTTAACTAATGGGCAGATACCGTGTTTAAATTAGCATTGATCCGAGAGGCGTTTCGTTTAAATTAAATTGAAAAAAAAAAAAAAGGTCAACTGTACATCGTATATTGGTTAAATGTGCTATCTTCCGAAACGCATGCTATCATAATTTTACGCTTTATATAATCCATGCGGTTATCAACCTCAATTAATGCACCTGGTGCAGGGAGGAAACACAGTTCACAAAAAGCCATCTGCGTGATGAACATTAGATTTCCCAATACCATTCAATAGTCAACTTGTTCGTCATCTGCTACCGTTCACATATGACAGAATAATCTACGTTCCATCGGACAAAAATCTCCTCATACCGCTATTCTCTTCCGAGAAAACAAAACGGGAAATACAAAAATCGACTTCCCTTTTCCGAAAGTACTGTAAATGGTTATATAAAAGAAAAAAAAAATGGGACAATGGTGCACTACACTGATTACATTTAACGATAAATAATTAATTTAAATCTTTTCCAATATTCTCCTCGTGTTTTGTGTTTACAATAGTTTAATCTATACAAAGAAAAGCGACGATACAAAGTTAAACTATAATGTAAACAAATTATTATCGTACTAACACGCATTAAAAAAAAAAATTAAAATACGGTAGATTCGATGATACTATAGACATTGTTTTTAAAATGATTGTTGTCGTAAGGTGTAATTTGTAAACAAAAGAGATGACAAGCAAGCTGTCATCCATACAGTTCGCACTTTTATATACTGTTTTCTACAGCTTCTACTCTTAAGAGAACTCGAAAACTTTACTGTATATTAAGTGAATTGTATAAAATTCCCTCTAAATTAACAAAACTGTAAATATAAATATGTATATATGATTTAATTTACCCGAAAAATAGATTATTTTCACACTTAAAACGTCAAAATATAATAAGATTTGTAAACGATTAGAAACATTTAACGGATGTAGTTTTAAGTGTACATTTTTTCTAAGAATAATTAGAAACATTTCAAATTAATAGATAATACATTAAAGTTATTGAACTTTTTAACAAAATAAAGAGACTCCACTTTCTGTATTTTGTTATAAGTTCAATAAGGGAATGTCAGATAATAAATTAACACCTTAGAAAAGTGTTTAAAACATTTATTTTCTGTCATTGAAGATTTAATGCATTAATTTTATGTATTTAATGTAACAGTTTTTATGTTATAATTTCTAATCATGTGAAGATATATAAACTGAAAAAAACACCATTGTTTACATATGTTAAAGATCAGAATGTTTAATAATTTGAATTATAAATCATTATTTTCTGTAATTATTATATATATATAATATATATACATATATATAATTAATTCAATCTTTCAAACTGTAATACATAGATATGTTATAAAATGTATGTAAAATATATATTTAATTTTAAATATCGTAAAGAAATGAAATAATTAAATTCCCTGAAACGTTTAAAAAGTGACAAGTGAAGGGTGGAACAAGACGTCAACTTATTAAACGTATTGAAAAAACAAACGTTAAAAAAGTTATATATTAATAAGTATAATTCATATTACTTACCTGTCAGATGACATCTTGCTCCGTTATATTTTCGTTAAACGTGATGCATAATAAAGAATCCGTGATGGCAGCCGACTTAATACTTTTGCCAAACGACGTTGTCCGCCATCTTAGTCACTGCGGTAAAGAGGAAGAGATCGGTTCGAGACTAAGCAGACGAACGATACGCCCTCGAACCCCGTCAAGATTGACCTCCTGACCGGTTTTAAATGATATTGAATTATAAACTTTCTTTTTTTAACTAATTTGTATTTTTCTATAAAGTATTAATAAATATGTTTATACGCGTATAAAATTTTTTCTTTATGTGTATATATATGTCTTTTTGTTGTAATATAAGTTTATAACCTTTGACTTCGTTTATCGTGATTGACAGATGTGTTTAGCATTCCTGTTTATTTTGCCATTTCTCCGGAGGAGGAAAGAAAAAGACGTTTGTTTATAAAGTTCTTACCCCCGGCACACCTTGATAATTCGCAGAAATTACCGATTCGCCGCTATAACAAACGTTTATTTTTTATTATTTTTTTCATTTTAACGATCAAAGCGTGTCCAACACTGAATGAATTGCAGCCGAGCATTGAATGATGTTCGAGGATTATCACGTGGTTTACTGACTCTTTTGTTACAGGCATAATACACTCGCAGAAGTAACAGGAAGTAACTACTAAATTTTAGATAAATAATGGCACGGTTTATGAAACACTAACGCTTTACGACATTAAAAATGCTATTTGTTTGTTTTAAACACCTCTCGAGTAGATTGAATAGTAAAACGCTACGATTGTCGTACATTTTACTGCAAATTAATTTTAACTAATGGGCAGATACCGTGTTTAAATTAGCATTGATCCGAGAGGCGTTTCGTTTAAATTAAATTGAAAAAAAAAAAAAGGTCAACTGTACATCGTATATTGGTTAAATGTGCTATCTTCCGAAACGCATGCTATCATAATTTTACGCTTTATATAATCCATGCGGTTATCAACCTCAATTAATGCACCTGGTGCAGGGAGGAAACACAGTTCACAAAAAGCCATCTGCGTGATGAACATTAGATTTCCCAATACCANTTTTTTTTTACATGGAATACGGATATTCTATTGTTAATAGAGTAATGCGGGCAAAATACTTCAGTTAATAATGCATTGTTGTATTGTTAATCATGCAAACAAAACGTCTTCAGTCTGCCGACGTGTAAAATTCATCCAAGTGTATTATTAAGTTAATAAATCTTTGAATACGGAAACTCCCAGTTTTTTTTTTCTTCTTCTTCTCCTCATGAATATAAATGTCTCGTATAATTTAATACTATGTTTACGTATATATAAGCCACTTACCGTCGAATATTCATGCCAAAAATCACAATAAAATGAGCGAATATTGAGCGCTGGATCTCGATCTCGGATTCCCCCGAACTGAAAGAATTCGTACCAGTTACAAACTGATTCTATGTAATTGCTGGCATTTTTTTTTCTTTTCGTAACATGTTAAAATGTGTCGAAATAATTAATTTCGTATGAGCAAAGATTTTCGTTACTTAATGTGCTAAAAATGATTATCAAATGTAGAATTGTTATTGTTGTATATTGTTTTAAATTTTAAAAAATCATGCTGTGTATGCATAGTAGCAATAATATATTCACTATCCTTCAATGTTTAAATGCTAACTAAGCAAAAATAATCGTGTCAAACGTTGCCACTGAATAATAAGATAAGACTTTTGTCCTCATTTTTAAGCAGCAGATGACAGTGAGAGTGAAACAAACACTTAGATTTATATTATGAAAACTTTTTAATTATCTTACTTTCATGCTTAAAGCAATTTTAGACAAACACTAAATGTTTCTGTTAATTTTTCAAATAACAGAAGCAGAAATCAATATACTAAAACCTCTTGTGTACCATCCTAATACAGGAAATACACTAAAACATTGGAGGATTGATCACGCCATGTGGATGGAATCTTTGAATCGTTATTATTATTATAAATCTTGTTTCTATATTAAGTTTAATTTGATTTCATACCAGTTTTTATTATAAGCCAGCCATTCCACACATAAACAATCCATATAGAAAGATATGTAGGACAGTGTATGAATTGAACACTTCAGATACTATAGACATTGTTAACAATAGAAACAAAGTTGGACAAGTACAATGAAGAGACAGCAGGGTTAAATCAAATAAAATAATTTTTTTTAGGTTAATTTTCATATTTTTTCTGTACTTAGTTTATTTCAAACAGGTCTTATCATACATTTCTTCTTTCCACTCTGTGGGCACCAAGAGAGACTTTCTTTTTAATGGGTTTAGCCAGCTGGTGACGGATGGGGTCCGATATATCCGAATGGACCGGGCTTTATACCATAGAAGAAAAAAAAAAAAAATCACTTTTTAATTGTTTAACTTTAATTTTGCATACTTTTTGAAGTACCGGTAATGTTTTAAACATTAAATTATTACAAGTAAAAATATTCAAGCTTCCAATCTAATATTTTTGATGCATTCATAGTTCTCTGAAGACAACTAAGAGACTTTTCATCGGTGGCCATTAAAAGTTTGACTAGAATTGTAACAAGCAGTAGACAGTGAGGGACGAGACTGAAATATCCATTCCAGATCACCTATGAAAAATTTCTAAGAATCTACCCCAGATTCAAACTGCAGTTGCTCAGAATAGCAAACAGGAATCTTAAACTACCTCGGGCCGTCAAGCTGTCAAAGATGATGGATTCGAACGTATCGGAAGCATAAGATATTTTAACTTATCTCGTTAGTTTAACGTCGCGAGACGATCTTAAGAAGTGAATAGTTAATTGGAATACCTTAATTATAAGTCGAATAAATTAATAACGGTCATTCGCAATTAAACGAATACAGAAAAATGGATCGGCGAACCTTTACAAAACGAACTACTCTTAGATTTATCTAACACATTTCGCTTAATTATTCGCGTTCGCTTACTAGCGAGAGAGATATTGATTAATACAGGGGGAAAAAAAAAATCAAAAGTTTTTAAAAAGTAATTTTATTAACCCTTTTTTTTTAATATATATATATATAAATTTACTTAGAAAATTTTTTTAAATGACACATTTGGTTCAACAGCAAAGAATAATTGTCAACAGAATACAACATATCAATAAATAATGAATATAAATTTCAGTGTGTTGATCTATACACTACATTTACAACCAGATTATAAAAAAGTTTTTATTCTCTTTTTTTTTTTCCTCTTAACATTTTAAATATATCAAAAAACTTTACAATTTTCCACATTTTAAATGGCATAGAGAAATTTTTCTTTCTAAACATTTAATTCATTTAAAAACTTCTTTTCTTAAGTTAATTTCTAAAACTGTACAACTGTATTTTCATTAATATACATTTTTAGAATATTTTTTTTTATTTAAAAAACTCCTTTTTGTTTTTTTATATTCTACAATATTCACTTTTGGTGCATATATATATATAAAATTTCTCTTAATTAAAAAGTTTTAATGAGAATAAAGGTTTATTATAAAAAAGAAACTAGAAACAATACTTCTCTGTAAATTTGCAATATGCAATTGTTCCTTTCCGAGGTTGTTAATACTGTAGGATGGAATGTGTTCTGTTTCTGAAAAATTTTCCCTCGTTTAATTGTTCTAAGATGCGGCGACGACGTCGGATTTATGTAGAAGCTAGATAACGTCGCTTTACGGGCCCCGCAGTCGAGGAGCCCCCTGCTCGGTATATATAAATCCGGCACCGAGCGACAGGTGGCGAGACATTTGGAAACTGTACTTACTGTTAAAGAATGCCCTACGTGACAGCCATTTTTATGTACATAACAATGGAAATTTCTTATTGCAATAACTGGATCTTTTACTCTAACAGCATTAAAATAACTAAGCATTATCTCCGGATGGCCCATGGAAATTTTAATGTTTGCAGATTATACTTTCCTACTCTTTTTGTTGGCAGCCTCTCTTTTGTGTATAAAAGATGGCATTATTTAGAAATACTGTTCGTAACCATGCATTACAAAGTGTGTTTCCTCAGTAATGCTTCATTATCAAATCTACTAAGAACAAAATTTATTAAAACCGAATAATTTAAGCTTTACACGCTCTTAAATTTTAGTCTGAAACTGTTGATTTCAAATAATTTACCAAGCAATATTTAAGAGAATGTATACAAAAGCAGAATTTAATAAAATATTAATATATATAAAATTCAGAAGTTGAAAATGCAATATTAAATTGTTTACAATAAATAATTTAGAGGTATTGAAATGTGAGAAATAATAATAAAATTAATTATTAGAAACAAATAAAACTTTGGTTACGCAGCTTTTGGTATTAGAGCAACGATTAGAATAGGATTTTAAAAAACTGCATTGAAATCAACTAAAAGATACGAAGAAATATTAATATTGATAATAATCTAAAGAAGAAAATGTTATGCATGGATCGAACATTACGATTGATTGCAACCTTAAAAACATTTGCAAATTTGCTCATCAATTATACAATCTAACCAAATTCAATTTCTGTTAATCGACAGTAACATTGCATGTTCATTCATCCATTTTTGATCTATACGAATGGGGCATCTTCGCGCAACCAGTTTAAACTATATTTTTGCCATCACTAAATGTACTTCAGCTAGTCGCTATAATAACAATAAAGAAAATTCTGTTAGTAACTTACAAATATCCAATATAATTATACATTTAAAACTCATTAATACTTAAGTAAATTGTTAGTTTCCTCTACTTTTTGACAAACTTATTTTACCATAAATTAAATAAGCTTTGTATGTGAATGCTGAACTTCTTTCTTAATTAATATACTTATAAATTTTCCTCTCAAACTGTTTAGATTTTATACTGTCGACACGGATATTCAAATATTTGTATGTTATTTGCCAACATCCGATGCAATAAATCAATAGCACCTGTTTGCTTATTCAAAATATTAAGTTTTTCTTTTTCCTTTAAAGATTTTATAAGTAAATTTCTATACATAAATTTAGTAATTCTGTCAACTTTAACATTATTTATATAAGTTCTCTACTTTATTTACAATGGACAAATTTTATATATAATTTTTTTTTTTGACGAATAGTAATTTTATGGAAATATTTACTTGTGCGTCTTCAACATCATTTCAATCACTAATAATGGAAGAATTTGATTTTTGTATTTAACATCTTCAATATGAAAACAAATATTACTTTTATAAAAAAAAAAAAATATTAAATATTAACAAGTTTTAGATGTATAATTATATTAAAATTATTAAGTTCTATTAACATAAGTTGAATTAAATATTTTGTTCTGTATCTTTAAAAGAAAATTTGATTTTAATGACATTTTAAATTTCATGTATTTTAAGTAGAGAAGGGAAATTATAAAATTCTGGGAGAGGTGCGGAAGAAAATTTGTAGTCAAACTTCTATATAACATATGACTAACATATAATATGCCATAAAACATAATAAATAATTTAAATTCAAAGCCCTAATAACACGTAATTGCAAAATTTATTAATATTAATGATGGAGTTTTGAAAGAAATTGTTAACTAGTCAGTAAATCTGATGTAATTTGCAACAATATCTTGTGAATAAATCATTATACTGTGTACTTAAATAAAAGTAAAACTTGCAAAAAGTAGTGCGAGGAGTTTGGTGATTCTGAGAGGCAATGTTATAAGGTCATGACACACAAGGCAATTTTTATGGGAGACAAAAAATCTCCCATAACTTGCTGTAAACAATGAGTGCATGTAGATTTATCACAAGTACAGCTCTTGTTTATAACACAAAAAATAAAAATGGAGAATAGCCACTTGTCGACAGTTGATAGGACATGTTTAATTTCATTAATTCAATCATAGGAACCGATTTATGATATAACCACACTATTAAAGAATATAAAGGTACTCAAAGATACATGCTTTCATGCCGTTAACTAAAATTTACGACTACCAAATAGAAATGTCAATTGTATGACTCCGTCAACTTCTCTCCTCGTGTCTGAACATCACCGGACACCAAGAGGTTTTTGTTGCACAGAGACAAGTCTCTGGGGCAAAAAATTGCCTAGTGTCACGGCCTTTAGTGATGCTACGTTCATAGCACTACTGGCTCACAGCGTCAGAAAGTATAACTCACAGAGTTGCCCGACTCCTCGTGCTACTTTTGTCAAGTTCTATTTTCATTTGCTTACTTTGTATTTTGAAATCTTACCAATGCTCAAAATATTCTAGGGCCCTACAAATAAAAAAAAAATAATTTCTACAATATTTTTTGCCTATTGAATTCAGTAATGCTTATGTCTTTAAATACAGAACCAGTCAAGAAGAACATAACAAGTAAAAATAAATTAAAAGATACAATAGAACAAGATAAAACTCAACATCTCAGAACATCATAAATTAACAATCCTGAGAAGTGGAAACACATCCAAGAGTTTCGCAAAATGTTACATGTAAGTATACACAAATTTTAAAAATTTAACTTAAGCATAACCACGTTTTACAAAACCATTTCTTTACGAATTAAAAGGACATGTAAAAGAAATATTAAATACAGATACAGTGATCAATAATAATTAATTACTACTTGAAAAAAAAATGTCATTCTTACATATACATATATTTATATATTGAGATTATTTAATTTCGCAGATTATATTATTTACAGAACAGCAAGCGAAAGAAAAAAAAATGAAAATAATGATAATAATAAAATAAAATGATAAGAATTTAAAAATAAAACATATTCATATATCTTAATTCAATAAGTAACTTTGGCATAAAATAATAATTTATAGCTGTATCCTATTATTTTCTAGTACCATAAAAATATAAAATAAAAATAAATTTACATTATAAACTTTCAATTTCAAATACAAAATTTTCAATTTTATATATGCATATATGTATTATTTATATATATATATAAAGGTAAAACTTTTGCAAAATATAAAGTGCATCAATATAATTTTGCTTTTTAAGCAGAAAATAATTAAATTAATGTTTAAACCAAATATAAAATTATTGAAACTAATTCATGGTTCAATAATTTATATATTTTAATTAAAAGTTATGCCATTATAAGACACATTTTATATAAAATGATGTTATCAATCAACGGGTAAAGTTGAGCATTGTAAATATATATATTTTGTTCCTTTTTATTTTATTTTTTTTATATATATATATATTTTTATAATTTATAAAATGTCTATTAAGAATGCATGTTGTATTTATATTTGTAATGTTATGAAATATTCAGTAAGTATTTTATTTCTAAATACATTTTGAGTATATAAATTTGGAGTAATGTTGTTACACTATACATATGCATGCTGAATACTGAAAAATATTACAAATAAATGCATAATTTTAATATTTTTCTAATTACTAGCAAATGTAAATATTTAATAAGGAAGACAATCCGCTCAGAGCTTAGAGCATAAATGGCAGTAGGAATTTAAATGACAATAAGATTTTGATAGATCTAATTAGATAAAATATGTTAAAATTTCCTATCATGACTTGTGATTTGACGTTAACCACATCAGTCCTTCGTAGAGACCATCTCCAGTGGTTGCGCAGGCTGGTTGCACGTACCAGTTTCTATCTCTGATGCGTGTTAATCCTAATTTTTCTTGTATTTCGTGTGGCTTCATAGCTGTAAAAATTATGATTACATAAATGTTTGATTTCCATCAGATCCTATTAAATTTTGAATCATTATAGATATTACAGCATGCAAATAAAATATTATTGGCATTCACATTCTATAGGATTCAAAGCTTAATCTCTGAATAATGATTTATAATGAACAGAATTATTATTTCACTTAAACTACAATAAAAACTAATTTTCAGATTTATTTTACAGTACCTTTTTAACATTTTTAAATACTAAATAACATAAAAATAACATTAAATAATATTTGTAGTATGTTCTGATTAATCTGAATTAATAAATGAAGGAAAAATTTTTGAGATTAAACTGTCTAGATGTAATGATATGTACAGCAAAAATAAATTAATGAATGTATCCATGTATTGCACAGAACGCAGACAAAATAATATGAAAATTTCATAGAAAATTTAATTTTTCTTTTATTCAAAGCGTATGTTTGGACTTATAGGTTGAACAGGTTAACGAAAACTAGATTACAGAACATCCAGATTAACCAGACTGAACTGCTTTTATACTAAAAAAGTAAATTAACCTGATTTGTTAACAAAGTTTTTAAGTTTTCATATTCACATAATTATAAAATGTTGTATTGATGTCTATCCAGGTAAAAGGATAAATTACATTGACATCATCTTATATGAATTGGTACTTAATACTGTGACCTATCGACTCTTTTTGAGGAAGAACTTTGTGAAATTCTACTTGACACAATAAGAAAGGTAATGAAAACTAATGTGAAGAAGAAGCCTTAAAGTAAAGTATATATTTTTTCCATTTTCAGTGTATTTTTTAGACACTGTACATTTTTCTTTACATTTATTTTTATACAAAGAAAGAAAACAATATATATATATATTTGTAGTAATATGAAAATATTAAAAAAAATACTGTAATGACAGTGTCGTGTGTATCTGGAGCTCGATAGTTTTTGAATCTACTAATGTGAATTAAAAAATACGATTTAAGAAACAATAAAGAATAATGTTGAGAATAAGAACTAAACGAATTTTTGAAAAAAAAAACTTTCGAGTTAATAGAATTTTAGAAACAAAACGAGCTTTATAGCAAATAGATCGCCAGGTTTTAAAGTACAAATACCGTTTATATGAGGATGCATTTTGGGGAACAAGACTATGAAGTNCTCAATTGTTAAAGACTACAGAAAATGTAAATGTATATCATATTACTAAAATATAAATATATGATTCTCAGAACATACCATTTGGTAAATCCTGTTTATTCGCAAACACTAAAATAATGGCATTCCTCATTTCACGATCGTTTATTATCCTGTGAAGCTCTTGTTTGGCTTCGTCGATTCTATCACGATCAGCGCAGTCTACAACAAATATCAAGCCTTGTGTACCTGTATAGTAATGTCTCCACAAAGGACGAATTTTATCTTGACCACCAACATCCTATTATTAAAAGTAAACATTTTAAAATTAGAATAAGACAAATAAAGCAATATAGCAATTGATGTTAAAATAAAAATTAGGAGTTAATATATATATATTTTAAAGTAATGCAACCTAATTATTTGGTTATAATATCATACAAATACACAAGCTTCCGATAATCAAATGAAGCCAATAATTTCAATCATATTCATTTTACTTGGAAATAATGAATTAAAAAAACGATAATAAAATTATTATATATAAACTCTAAAACTAGATAGTTTCACATATTTATGTAATATTAAATATGTATACAAAGTACACTTATATAAAATATATATTTACTTTAGTCTATTAATAAAATTATTAGTTTCCCAGTTATCAAAATATATTCTCTCCATATTCCTTTCAAAATATAATTTAAAATCTACTTTAATTAAACCTTTATCTAAAGACATTATCAATATTAGAAAATTGCATCAGAAATTTTTAAATATTACATGATTCAATACTGAATTATCAAGATATTAGTCCTTGAAGTAATGAATGATTAATGAGCTATTACCACTATATTTGCAACAACCAGTTGTTTATAATGCAATGTGGGTTTATTCAATTATCAAAAAGTATGATGGTAGTTCATTAATTCACAAGTTATATAATTAATTTACATTTTACCTTAAAATATCGAATTAACGTGTGTTTTTATAAATCATCATAGAAGTTACGGGGTGAAATAATTATCATTTTTTATTAGGGAAACTCATTTTATATTTTATCCTTATAGAGTTTCTAAATATGCTTATGTTATTATTTTATTTTTATGTTATTATTTAAGGATTTTCACATGATTCTAAATTTTTGCATATATGACTTTAATAAGATAAATCACAAAGATTTAAACTGATGTATTTGAATCACTCATACATATACATACAGTATATAAACATACTAGTTTGGCATTTATACAGATTACATTGTTATAATATTACTTATAAATTATATGTAACATCGTATATTCCTCTGATATTATGTCAAAAAGTAGTTATGTAAAAATTAATTCTAAGAAAATATTTACTTAATTCTCATTTTTATGCAGGTTATACAAATTATGTATCATGTGCATATTCTGTTTTATATATGTATATATACAGTATTTAATTTAAATGTTTATAAAGCACTGGTTTCTACAGTTATTAAATGTTTAATGAATTCCAAATTATATACATAGATAAAATATTTGATGTATATTAATTTTGGTTATCATTTAAATTATTATTTTTGGCTTTTGTATGCAGTGACAGCTGAAAGAAGGTTGCGAGTTGCTTTAAAGCAACACTCACTTTATTTTATGGCAGTGATCTGGAACCTAAACCACCATAATAGCAATAAATGCCTATATTCTAAAATAAAGAATTTTTCACTTATTCTGATCAAAATGGCTTTATATTTTTAAAGGGTGTACGCAGAAACTAGTTTATAAACTATATTCATTGCGGTTGTTATCCAATTTATTTTTTTACTTGAAATATATATTTTTTTGGAAATGCCATTATTTGCAATGCATATTGTAAAATTATTATTAACAGTACATGCTAATTGTATTTCATACAGCTAACAGCATAATTAGTACAGTAGAGCCTCGAAAACTCAGCCTAATGTGGACCGAAGGGTGGCCGAGTTTGTGAAAATGCCGGGTTATCGGGAATGGGTTAAAAAAGGATAAGTATGCATGTTTCCTCAGAAAATATTGTACTATACTTGTATGTATTGTTTGCTTGAGAATACAACAGAGAATAAACTGCCCAAATACCCTTAAACAAAGGAAAAGTACATCCTTTATGAAGGCATAGAGCCTACATGAAAATGAAAATTAATGAATACACTGTGTACAGTAATTTACTTGATAAGACAGACCTCAGAAAAATACTTTATGAGGCATAAAGCTGTCTATGATGAAAATTAATTATCTAAGGGTATTTTTGCCCTGCCAAGGTGTGGCCGAGTTATCCGAAGTGCCGAGTTTTCAAGGCTCTACTGTATTAATAAGTCATATAGAATTTCTGAATATCTCAATAAAGTATCAAAGTATGTACACCTCACAAACAGAATATTTAATAATTTTAGAGTATTATATATATGCTTTATAAACTATATTCTACACTTTAATCATAAAACCTTAATTAAAAATTATTGTAAAATAAGTCTCATTTTCTCATGTATTACTACAAAGTTGATTATTTAGTTATAAAAGAAAATCTAGTATAATGATAAATCTAATAGTTTTTTCATAGAGCTCTTTTTACCTTACGAACACTAAAGGGAATATTTTTCCATGCCCATTACAGATTTAGCTGGGCACACAATGGGATCGGTTAGATAATGAAAGATAGGACCCACCATATCTGGAATAGACTGTGCACAAAAAATTCTCCAGATTCTAAACCCAAATGTAAGATGGGATTCCAGAATAGCAGGATAATGTCTATTTTCTCGGATTTCATCCAATAAAATTTGTTCATTTTTTAATATATTTTTTATATATGGAAAGTGTTTATTTTATATAAAATGAAAATAATGTATTTGTAAATAAAGCAGATCACTATTCACTTTTCTATAAGTTCTAAACCAAGATTTTTCAAACAGTAGAGAAATATCAATATTGAAAAAACATTTTTTCTAATAAATATCATTTTTAATTCATTTTATTTTCTTTCAATTTGCAATTTTTTAACTTTCACATCCAATTTATGTTAATTGTAACGTTTATTAAGATTTTAATTTATGTTGTTAGCAAAGGTTCAATCACATACAATATCCTGATTAAAAACTGAACTTTAAATCCTTCGTATTTCAAAGGGATGATGGAAAAAAAAAAACCCTAGAACCCTAGTCAAATCAAAGTAATCAAAATATTTTTTAAGTAATGTTTTTAAATATATAACCTGTATCCTATTCAACTTCATAAATTCCAAAGTAGATGAATTTTATAAGTTTAAATCAAAGCGTATCTTTGAATTAATACTTTAATAAATTAAATGATCAATTATGACTCATATAGTTTCATTTCTATCTTAATTTCGATATTTAACTTCCTTATTCATTTGTAATATATTTATTATGTGTACGTTTAAGTCTTTTGTTAATTGGCATTGATTAATTTGCAATTATACTTTATTATTTGATTCAGCTGTAAAAGATTTGTTATAACAACAAATCTTTTACAGAAATATTAATAAACAAAACTGAATGTATATTATTGTGACATTGTCACGATGCAGGCTGCAATTTTTAATCATATTTTAATTAAAAAGTCATGTGTCTTCTGGTCTGGTCTTAATACAGTTAATCAGGATTTCCGACCCCTAAGCTTTACATATCTGGTCTTTATTTTCATCTATCTAACTCTGTTCTCAAGATTAACAAAGGACAGACAGACAGACAGACAACAGGGGGGAATGTAAAGGTCTTCAATTTGAAAATTATAACCCAAATATATTGGATTCATGTTGTAAAGTAATAAGACAAAATTAAACAAAACCAACGTCGTATAGTGCGAGGAGTTTGGTGATTCTGAGAGGCAATGTTATAAGGTCATGACACACAAGGCAATTTTTATGGGAGACAAAAAATCTCCCATAACTTGCTGTAAACAATGAGTGCATGTAGATTTATCACAAGTACAGCTCTTGTTTATAACACAAAAAATAAAAATGGAGAATAGCCACTTGTCGACAGTTGATAGGACATGTTTAATTTCATTAATTCAATCATAGGAACCGATTTATGATATAACCACACTATTAAAGAATATAAAGGTACTCAAAGATACATGCTTTCATGCCGTTAACTAAAATTTACTACTACCAGGTAGAANCCCCTGAAAACCAGCAAACAGAAGAAAGGAATACCAAAAACTAAGAAAAAAATAAACGTCTACTAGTAATATAGTCAAATCGTCAAATAAGAGAATGAAAGAAGGTTCCAAAACAGAAGATGAATCATGTTCTCATGCAAAAAAAAAAAAAAAAAAAAGGAACAATTTTAATCAAGTATTGTGTCGATAATTGCAGACGTTGAAATATATCATAACAGATTGGTCAGATTTTAATTAAGATAATTAACTGAAACCAGCAAACAAAAAGATATTAAGTACATTATAGTGCATTACTTATTATTTTATTAGATAAATAAACTGAATAGAATCATACGACGTTAAACTTTACGCGATTTTCTTCAAAGTTATGAAACCTGTTTAACTCTATTTTGAGACAATTTTTAATTAAATATATTAAACGTGTTTAAAACTATATTAAAAAATTGATATAAAATTCAGAACATACATACCCAAACATTAAATTTAACATTTTTATATGACACAGTTTCTACATTAAATCCAACAGTAGGTATAGTTGTAACCGAATGGCCGAGTTTTAACTTGTACAGAATAGCTGCTTGTAAAAAGGAAATTAATGACACAACAGTATTATTTACATATTAATCTTATTTTAAAAAAAAACTTAAATAATATCCAACTTCTTAAGAATTACGCATTTATAATTAATAAAAATCGGTTTCCTTACTTGTTTTACCAGCTGCGTCTAATCCTAACATTAAAATTCTCATTTCTTTATTTCCAAATATCTTTGACAACAACTTCCCCATCTCTTCTCGGTAAGCAATTCGAGATAGTAATCTAACACCATTAAAAAAGTAATAAAGATTAAATTGCATTACCAGCGTGTATTTAACGTTATAGTAAAATTCCCATAGAAAATTAAAAATAATAATAATAATACCGACAAAATTGCAATCATTTCAATACTTTTACAGAGCTAGAAATTAAGTAAAATTATTTAAATGGACTGAAAGGAGAATCAGACATTTCGTAGATTATTTTAATAGATACTACTCTTGCGATTGTTTTCTATTGTATGAGAACGTTGTCCTTGAATGTTAATAATAAAACGAAATCATTCCTTGTTATCAACACATTTAATTAACAATCAGCTTCCTTCAGCATAAAAGTAATGGATATAATTTGTTTAATATACAAATTTACACATAAATAGTTTAGACACAACACCTACGCCACATCAAATTGTATGAAAAAATGAAAATAATTAATACAAACATTTTAAATAAATAAAAAACTTAATATATATACTTAATGCTCAAAAAAAATTCAATTTATAAATATCTTCTAATTCTATTAGACAGTATATGCAGTAACAAACATTAAATTTTCAGAATGATCGTATTAAAAACTATAACAATAAATAACTTAAAAAAGAAGAAAAAAAAGGGGCATAAATAAATCAACCTGCAGGAAAATTCACATCCTCCTACAGAAAAAATGATGTAAAGAATTTCTTGCCTAACTTTGTATGCCCTTGGAATTAAAGGGCATCTGCCTACTCTTCTTACCTGTAGCTACGTAACTGCTATTATTTTTTTTCCTCCTCCTCTTTTTTTTTAAAATAACAACCAACACAATGAGACGTTTTTAAATAAAACAAATAAATAAATTTTTGAATTTTCAACAAAAAACTGACCACCAAATAATATATACCTGTTAATATAAACAAAAATACTATCAGTTTGTGCTGCTGACCCATATTTTACAGCTGAATTGTCATTACCGTATCTTGTTTAAAAAAAAAAAAAAAAAAAAAAACGGTTACAGAAATATTTTTCTGATTTTTATCATATCACATACTAGAAAAACAAACTGATTATTATTATTTATTATAATTTTTAAAGGATATTTAATATAAAATTTTCAGGTAGAATGATTATCGTAGTTTAAATCCACTATTTCTTAAATAATAGTAATTAAAAATTTATTTTAAAACGACTTATCGTTTGATAAAAAACCGAAATAATTAATTTGCGTCTTTAAAATTCTTTCAGAAATTACTACTATTAACAAAACAGAGAGACTTGTTATGCTTAATTTTAATTTAAAATTTTAGACGCAAGTATGGTAAGTATATCCGTATCAGTAAAATAACATTTTTCTTTGCTTATGAAATACTTTAAAATGTCAAAACATATTGCTACATATATTCATAATGCTTTTAAAAATATTATATACATGCAAAACTTTCCTTATTTATGTATTATAAACTGTTTTGAGAAATAAACATTCTATATATTAATGGCGCGCAGTTTATTTCTAAACTACGCACCATTAATATATAGGATTTTTATTTCTCAAAACAGTTTGTAATACATAAATAAGTTTTGCATGTATATAATATAAGCTATACTTTCTAATATAACTCATGCTACAAAACACATTTAAATTAAATACTAAGTTTTTCTTTAAGGCTGTGATACCGTTTGACTGTAATAACACTACTTCAACGGGTTTTGATATAGTTTCTGACTTATCCTTAGCTCATTAATAATACATAAATAGTATATATTTCAATTAAGAAGCATAAACAAAACCAAAAAATGCTGCTGATTTTATTCTATAAGTCCCATAATGTCTACAGCGCGCTAGCAAGGTGCGTTATTCAATAATCTATCAATCATTCTATAATAAATTTTCGATCAGCTCGATTACCAGAATAAATCGTAATTTATATTATTAGTCATTTCCTCTATAGTATTGAAAAATAAATAAATTTCAAATTATATAATTCTTACAAAATTTAATATTCCGTAAACTTAATGCAATATCTACTCGTGGAAGAAATATTACTACGTACGCGCATATCAAATAACCGGTAGCAATTTCTCATTCAACAACTGGATATCTATGAGCATGAAACTACATTATTTATAAAAGTTTTGTAATCGTAAAATAATTCTATGGATGAATTGGCTAAAATAAAGATATTTTATGCACTTTAATAGTTCGTGCAGCAAATCTCGTATTAAAAAAAAAATTGGTTTTTTTACTATTATTTAATAATATTTAATACTACTTCCCTCCCATCTAAGAAGCTATTTATTAATCTAAAAATAATGTTTATTTCTTCATATAATTTTTAAACTAAATATCTTGTGTCTAAGTAGTTTAAATATTATAATGAAACAAAATTAGCAAACGTGTTCTAATTCTCTTCACTTTGCTTCTGTAGATAAAAACAGGATGTATCTTAAAAAATGTTAGACGTAGATTAATTATATCTTGACTGTTTCTGAGGAGATGATATTTATCTTATATTCTATATTATTTAATGCATATTCTTTACATTAAAAATTAAAAGATGTTAAAGTGATATTTAATCTTGTGGTTTAAAATTAAAAAGAGTTTTAATAATAATTAATTATTTAAAAACAAACAGGCCTTACATATTAGATTTATATTCAAAATATTCTACCCGAAGAACTGAAATTATAATTAATTCTAAGATGTTTGCACTTTTTCCTAAATATGATAAATACAAGTTGACCCCCCTATAACACTGTTGATAATTCCGTGTTATATGAATTCCATGTTGTATGAGTCACTTGGATTTTACAAATTCGCGAGCCATTCACAGCTGGGCACACGTATTTGTAAAATCCAAGTGACTCATACAACATGGAATTCATATAAAACGGAATAATTAACAGTGTTATAGGGGGTCGACTTGTACAAAGAATTTTTATTCTAAATATGGTATAAATATTTACAGTAAAAATCCTTGTTATAATTAAAACAAAAATACATAATTGTATAAAAAAAACAGGATCAAAATTTTAAAATACAGTAAAATCATCTTATTTATTTATAAAATTCAATATGTGAACATATGCGTAAACAATAAAGTTATAAAATATTTTATCATGTTAAAATACTCAAGAATTCGTAATATTTAAAAGTTATACACTGACGCAATATTAAATGTGGAATTATCAAGTTAAAAAGAAAAAAATCAGTTTATTGCTAATGTTAGGCATGGACTGTAGAAACTAGAATCAATTCCCTCTGTTATGATTAAGATTTTATCCACAATGAAACTGACTTTCGAGTGACGGGAAATCATCTAAATCCATATATGTGTTGTTTTGTTATGTCATTTTGAAAAGATACAAGTACATTTGTAATTATTTACAATTATCACTGTTGAATTTTCTTTTTAACAGTAAAATTGATTCTACTAGGTGGGAAATAAATTCTGTAAGTTGCAAAAACAATCTAATTAGATTAATATTAACCAAATTATATCAATATCAATTGGCCTATAATAAAATTTGTTTTGTCATACATCATTTTCATTTAATGTTGCAGTTCCCAAGAATGTATTAATGACATTAACCCCTGTATTCACAAACACGAGTTAGAGTTAAATCTCGAGTTAATCAATCACCATTTGCTTTACTTTTAATACGTGAACACTTATTGAATAACTTTTAACTCTAACTCTATGTTGGTGAATACAGGGGTAAGTAAGGGCTTGCTGCATTTATCTGGAGTTAGACCATTTCCTATCATCCACATAAGTCTGTCCCACCTAAATTCGTATAAATACATTTATTCGTATTTATGTGGATTTAGATGATTTCCTATCATTCACATTACTTTCACAGTAGTATGTATAGTATACTAAATTGAATTTTATGGTGTTTTCTTATTAAATATTTGTTTAATGCTTCAATTAAGCATCCTTACAGTAAAATTACATCATATATTTGAAGTATAAATGCCAAAACGGATAATTAATATCGAAATATTAAAATTTTGTTTTTAAATACATTTCCAGTTAAATATCAATAAGAATTTGAAAACCTTTGACATTTTCTGTTTCACATCAGTAGACAGCCACAAACAAAACCTTTTTTAACCAGTAATTGAACTTAAACTAAACTTCCAAACGTTTTCGGCCTTCGTCAAGGCCTGCTTCGGGTAATGAACTAGACTGGCTTCCAAGTTGGACCGTTAGAACGATTATCTACAAAGTCGGTTTAGTTCGTTACCTGAAGCAGGCCTCGGCGAAGGCCGAAAACGTTTGGAAGTTTAGTTTAATTTCAATTACCGGTTAAAAAAACATTTCGTTTGTGGCCGTTTATTTCTCACTCCAGTATTTCTGAAAATAAGACCGTTATTTCACATCAGTAGCGCATACAGCTTCGTGGGTCCCGGTCAAATTTGAACTAGGGGTGCCACGTACGGGATCGCTTCCTTATAAAAAAGATCGGTCGGGCAACCGGGCAATTGCCCTTTCTGCCCATAAGATAACGAGCCACTGTCGCATTTGTAAATTCCAAACACTTTATAAAATGAGATTTAAGAAATTAATTATATTTAACATCCTTTTTCTTTTTGAAAATGTGTTTCTTGATATCATTTTATTTTTTTTTTTTTTTAAAAACCAAAGAATTTTTCAATTTTACACATTTGGAGTTCTCAGAATAATTTTTGTGTTACACAACTTCAAATATTTTCAACTGATATCACGTGACTTCTAATTTAAACGAATCATTTTCTTTGTAACTTAATAAGTGTTTATTTGTATTCGATAATAATAATTTCGCGTTAAATTTCATAAATATATTAAAGAATTAGAACTGAAACATGGTGAATAAGTGCGTAACTGCCCTACACCGGTAGTGGTAAAGGATAGTAATTTAAATATTGCGGAGGATAAATATAATACGTGCATTTATCAAATGATTATATGCAATTGACGGAATGTTTGGTGTAATAAAAAAAAAATACTTACCATAAATTTATAAATTTTACAATATGCGAAAATACGAACATGAAAACAACACTTTTACCTATTTCTTAACTAGATCGTAAGTGCCGAATTAATCCGTAACGGAAATCGTAAATTGACCAAATGTAGCCCAAATGTAAATTAAATTCCTGGTTATTAATCTAATTATATTTGTTAAATTATTTTATATTACTTAATTACGATTATTATTTTAATATTACTTAAATTAATTATTTTTGTTTATTTTAAAATAACGTATGTATAATTTTAGAAGGTAATATAAAATCTCGACAAAATTAATTGGCATAACTAATTATGCTCAATATTTTATTTAATTTGTATTAAAATTAATAAAAATAAAACGTCTGGTTTCAAATGTTATATATTGCCGAGCGGTCAAGATGGCAGCCTACCGCTCTGGGGGACCCGGGTTCGAATCCGAACAGGTCGAAAAATCCCCAGGAATTTTTCGGGGGGTGGTCCATTTGAATATGTCGGGCCCCGTCCCTCACCACCCGGCAGCCCCATTGTGGGCCTGGCCGAACCCATAATGGGCTGGCAAAAAAAGGCCCTCTTAGTGCCCACAATGCGGAAAGAGTTAAAAAAAAAAGTAGAAAAAAAAATATGGCGGTATAAGTTTTCTATTAGAAAGGGTCGACTCGCCCCACCAGTGGCCAAGCGGATCCGTTCCCTGAATACTGGGAGTTTGTTTGGTCGTGTCTTTGCGCCTCGCCAAGACGGGCTGGCCACGTGGCTTTTTCCGGGTTTTCTCCACGTCTGTAACGCCTGAATAGGGGCCAGTTACCCTTAAAAGACCTCCCGGAAGGCATTATTCCCCGCTTAACGACCATGAAAAACGCATACAACTACTATTACATGACAATTGCGTCACACGGAGCGATATAGACTAGAAGCTCGTACCAAACTAACCGATACAAGGGCCAACTCGGTTTCTTTCTCGAAGAGATCGTATACTGTACATGAATGGACGAGGCGTTAGCCTGAGGCACTGGGGAAATTTGGCTTTGCGTCCGAGTTAACAACCTCAAGAATTTTTTTTAATAAGTCTATCCAGGATAAATCAAAGAAGTTCCTCACTTGGCCGTCCATATTGGACCCGAAAAAAGGCACAGTAGTGTCTATAGGCACAGGACTGAAAGAGTTAAACGTGGGTGATCTGCCGAGGTGGAAATGACTCCCGGAAGGACTTTCAATGGAAAATTGGCTTATATTTAGGAGTTAGGAACGGGAAGAAAATCCGGAAAACTCCACTTGGCCCCAGCCCTTTGGTGAAGTGCGTACCCACGACCAGTGTTAAGTGGTTTTAACCACTCGGCCACTGATGGGATTGACAAAATAAAATGAAAAGACTAGAAATGAAGTGTGAAATGAAGCAGAAGCCATTCTTCTTATTTTGAATCTCTTCATTTATTTTATAATCAAAAGAATAAATTTACTGAGAATTTTTTTCTTAATATCTAGATATCTCATTTTCTTTATAATTCAATACGTTAAAACACGTGAATTTTTGTTGCTGTCTATACCAATTCAGAATTTTGAAAGCTGCAATAAATTGTTTCATTTGTAAATATTAATATTTAACAAATAAAATTTTAAATATCTTTTGAATGATAATTAATATTAAATACATTCACTTACATTGTTTTCTTTTCTTAATTTATTCCTCGTAATTAATTTAGTGTTAAATGACATTTTTCTTTGGCCATATTTCAAAGTCCGATACCATTTCTGGATGGCAATGACCGATTTACATTGCTTTTTCTTAAATGCTACCAGGAGTAATGTTGCGTTATTCTGAAAGTTTTGTTGTGTTTGAAATGCTTCCTGGTGCATTTCATTTTCATTATTAGGAGAAATATTTTCTATTTTGGTTTCATCTTCCTTGTCCGAAATACGCTCATCTTCTTCTGGTATCACATACAAAACAGTATTTTTATTATATTGCAATTTGCAGAACAACTTTTGCAAAGACTTCATTGACTCTTTATTATCTTTTATATATTTATCTTGAATAGCTTTTAAGGCAGTAATTCTAGTTACGTCTGCATTATGTAAGACATGTTTTCTGTATTGATTCACAATGAACCATTTCTGTATGGATTTCGCAGCTTTCGATCTTTGGATATCTAACAACATATATTTATATTAATTAATACTACATTAGAATTATTTTTAAAATATTTTATCTTTTCTTACCATGAAGTGTACTCATGTCTATCATTGATGAATTAATCAATTAAAAAGAAAAAAATTACTGTCTAAGAGATCTGTCAAGAATTTTTCTGAAACAAAAGACTAATTGTGAAGCATGAAATTGTTTTAAAAATATACTCATTGTTGATTTCTTCATTTTTATAAAATATAACTAATGCAATTCGTCAATATTTTTATATAAATATAGAATAGCATACTTTGAAATTCTTCAGTTGAAGTACTCCAATTTAGCTCTGCACTCGATTTAGTGCGGTTTCGGAGACAAACAAACGGTGGTGCTAAATCGAAGTTTGACTATAACTTATGATACAAAGGTAGATGCTATATAGACAACTCTCTATACATAAGAGTAACTATATCTTGTCGGATGAACGATGTAGTTAGTGATGATGCAGTTAGCGACAGGATCGAATCCAGGTATCGAAAAACTCCAGCAATTTTTCACTTTATTCTAGATAAATCAGGCATTTTCCCTCACCACTCGGTCAAACCTGGCCGAATTTCAAGCGCCTGGCAATTCTATCCCATCCAGGATAAGGAATTTGGGCGGTCTATACCCTCTAGAAACTTTTCGGACGTGGTTCATCCGAGACAGTGGTTCAATTCCTCACAACCCGGTCGCTCCATTGTGGTCCTGGTCGAACCCGTAATGGGCTTGCTAATAGAGGCCCTCTTAGTGCCCACAGGGGCGAATGGAGTTAAATAAATAAATAAAAAAAAGTGACCAAGCGGTTCTGTTTCCTGATCACCAGGACGGGCTGGCCACGTGGAGTTTTCCGTTTAGTCCATTTAATTTTTACAAAATGCGGAAGTCACTAAGAGCGGTAGTGCCTATGTTGGATATAATTCAAAAACCCTCCTACTGCCCACAGCTTAAAAAAATCACTGTTTAGAAATCTAAAATATCCTTTATTCTTAAGATTATAAAATGTATAGATATTTTATAGAATAGTCACGAATTCAATCGATATTGGATACGCTTTGAATTAAATCAGATTCATAGTATAATGTCACTGGGCATCGAATAGGAATTTTTTTCTTTTTTTTACTCTCTTCGCACTGTGGGCACGAAAGATTCTTTTTGGCATTCTCATCATGGATTCAGCCGGGTCCAAAATGGGAGAGGACGAGAACGAGACCTGACATATAAAAGTCACAAAGTTATGTTCGATATATAGTAGAATAACAATGGCTCCGGAAGAACCCGGGTATAGTATACAATATTGAATACTGGTTTTAGACTTTTTTAAAACTCTTTCAGTCCTGTGGGTACTAAGAGAGCCTCTTTTAGCAAGCCAATTATGAGTTCGGCCAGGTCCACAATGGGTTTACTCTGAAAAATTTCAGAGCATTGCATTTTTGATCCATCCGGATTCGATCCCGGGTCCTCCAGAGCGATAAGATGTCACCTCGATTCGGCCGTCACTGGTTTTATAGGGATGTCAGAGAGACAGGGTTCGAGTTCGAGTAGAACTCTCGGAATTTTTATGGATTATCTGTTCCGTAATATGTCGTCTCCCGTCCCTCACCACCCGGCTACCCCATTGTGCGCCTTGCCGAATCCATAATGGGCTTGCTAAAAGAGGCCCTCTTAGGGCGAAAATAGTTTTTAAAAAATGTCAAAAATTAAATAATAATTAAATATAGAACTTTTTCAAATTATAATTAAAAAATTATATTCATAATATTTTACAGTTTAAATTGAAAACGGTAAAAACTCCAATTGTTTAATTTCTTAAAATTAAGAATTAATTAACAACGATTAAGCGGACAGCGCCTCTAGCGGTTAAATGTAGAATTAAAGTACGAAGGTGAAGTCGAGGAGGTTTGGATATCTGTTGGCAAAATAAATAATATTTTACGTATGAAATGGCAATAAGTTTTCGAAATCCTCTAAAGGAAAGAACTTACGATTATTTATTCGAAAATCCCCAGGATAAACCATGCATCGAAAATGTTTTTTATTGGACATTAAAAGGATCTATAGTAGGTAAGGAGGATGAAGCGTGCTATTATTTTAAATATTTAATCGGTTTCCAAGTATGTTTATGGTTTAAATTACAGGCTTATCAAGCTATAATACATAAACATAAATGTAACACGCAGTGATGCCAACTTAGGGTTTTCCCCCTAAATTTCCCCTATCCTGCTAAATTTAGGGGGAAAATGTAGTCGATGTTGCCAGATACGTGAGGATAAAATCCTGAACAAAATGATATTTTTCCCATAAGATACTGGAATGCTTCAGTCCCAGGATGTGAATGTCTGATAGAAATAGATTTAAAATTGGAAAAATAAAAAGACGCTTCATTGTAGGAACAACTCTTAGAATAAAGTCCTACGATACGGGACGTCTGGTGACCCTATCCGTATTTGTTATGAAGTTTCGGCGATCGGGAGGAACTTCCAAAGGTTGCGTGACTAGCGACTGTTCTTGCGGCGAGATTCGGAACGTTGCTTCGTCGTAGAATGCTTTTGCTCCATCTGTGCGCTAGAGTGAAAATTTGTTTCTCTGGATCGTCGAAAGACTATTTTTTTTGACGTGTATTGTACCTGGAGCAAAACTATTTGGGGAAGTTGTTCTGGTACTTTTTGGTTAACGGGATGCCAGCTGATATGTACAGCAATGGGTAAGATTCAAGCTCTGAAAGAGGGATTTCACATCACCCCAGAATTGTCTTCACGAGTCTCCAAAGTTCAGTTTTTAATACGTATCGGTATACGGCCTATTCTACATGCTTCACATGTAGATGCACGCTTTGGTGCTTGCTATCGCTTGCATTTCAGCATCCGTGTGGGGGCGAGCCACTAAAACTATATAACATCGAGTATTCTGTGAACAGTCGAGTGGGGGTACTCGAAGCTGGCACAGTTGAGTGGGCTAAATTGTTAAATGCGATAGACTTTTGTGATCGTCTTCTGGCATCCCATTAACTGAAAAGTACCATCATTTTAGTTTTTAGAGTGAACTCTGTTAGTTTTAGGTGTTGTTCCAGGTCTGTTCAGGGGTTTTATATTGGTAACACTGCTTTTAGTTTATTTATATATTTATAGTACATGTGAGTAAATTACCTAAAAGTAACTTCTATTTTTACATTAATGCAACATAGACCTTTTAAACAGACACAGACATTTAATAATGTACACAGGATTTCATGTATTGCTAAATACATCTGCAATGCCTTTGTGTAGATTATTTACTTGTTTTGTATAAGGCAAAAAATAAATATGTGCAATTCCTAATTACAATGATGATGTTAGAAATGGTCGAAGCCATAAGAAATACAAAATACAAATAAAAGCATAATGCTGGTTTGTTTATAGGCCTTAACTGTTTTATGAGTAAGATTTCCCACACAAAAATCTGTTTAGATATGCTCCTAAGAATAACATTGTGGGAATATCCTTCTATAATGTATCACAGTTGACAAAGTCTTTATTGATGGATACACATGTATCTGTGATGTAATGACAGATAGGACCTTGGGTAGGGTGGAAGATTGAAATAGCATCAACCCTAGAACGTTCTAAAAGTTAATAAGGTGGCCGATCCGTAATTATTAGTTTTAAAGTAGGGCTGGTGCAATTTGTAGTAAATATCAATGTTTCTTAAAGAGAGAAACAAGTTTTAATTAAATCTATAACATATAAGAGGTAGAGAATGCACAAAAAAGTATGAAGCATACAGTAGTAAGAGGGAAGAAGAAGGATATTCCCTGTATTGGAATGGTATTACCTCAGAGGGATAATGTAAGTACGAAATATGATATATAATTAGGGAATTCGATCCCGGTCCTTATTTCTAATCTCGGGATTTCGGGATTATACTTAGTCGATTCCGGGATTATTTCGGTATTGAGGGTTAATAAAAAATAAGAAAATCTTACAGAAATCAACAAATCAAAATTTAGACAAAAATCAACATATTTTACAGTATACACCTAGCTAATTTAATCACTCTAACTAATCAGACTCAGAGTCAGACTAACCAGACTTAAAATCACTCAGTCTTCATGTTAAATTTATTCTTTTTTAAGCATCACTGAGATCTCTTTAAACTCACATAAATTGAAAAAACCTTTATGTAACAAACTATGCAAATAAACGTTGAAAATTAACAAAAATCTCTCTTAACATCGACTAAATAGACT